TATTTGAACACGTTCTAGACATCTCTAGGCCCTATCTGATTGGAATTGGCTCTTTTGGAGCCCAAGGAAGCACTCTGCAAAGTTTCATGACGATTGGGATATTTTTTCTAAAGCCACCACGGTCACCTCGCTGACCACGGCCGAGTTCTGACCAAAATCGGCAAAAAATGAAAAATTGAAAAAATGCTATACATGACTTTATTTGGTTGCATGAGTGACGAAAACAAAAAAATTGGGCCCGGGGGGGCGATTTCTGGCGTCGTTGGGCGCTTTCTTGTCGACTTTCTAACGACATTTTTGTCGACCAATCGATGCATTTGTCGAAGCTCTCTGATCGAGTAAAATATACCGTGCATATGTCAGAGGGACGAAGAAGTATATAGGGTGATAAAAAGAGCGCTAGCATCGTTGGTGATGGGAGTATGAAAAGATCAAAAGATTGGTCATACTGGGGCTCGAACCCAGGACCACAGCGTTATTAGCACTGCGCTCTACCGACTGAGCTATACGACCGGTCTGACCTCCCTCTTACCACACTCATGCATACATCAACTCGAGAAATATTCCATCATTAAATGATCCTATTTATCATTCAACATCAAACCACACTATGTGAGCCCCATGTCACCAATGTTCACGCACTACGCACCAAATTTGCTTCATTCTTACCCATTGAAAGAGCATCGTGTGCTTTATACATTGTGCTCGGTTCATGGACGTCCACACGTATTGGGACGGCACGCTAATCTACTTCCACCACAACGTGTACGTACCTTTCAAGCCGCTCGAACGACCAGCTTTCTTTGCGGGGCTCCCGTGGTTATTTGGCGCGCGCATTCGTAGGTTACCACTTTGTCGGCGGTGACTCCAACTTACCCACGAAGCGCTTGATGCGTCGTCCATTTCGGCGGCGGATCCAGTGTCTCCAGTGGCTCGTCGCATCGTGGCAAACCTGCACAACAAGAACTGCCTGGACTACAACCTTGGACTCGTCGCTCGCCACACGCCATCTGGAGAGCTATCTTGAGGCGGTGACGTACGATGGGAACGCGCTCCACGGTAACCACAAGCTGCGCACGGTAATGCTCGGGACAACTCCGTGGTCGGCGGCGCGTCGCAACAAGGCCGTCTACCGGTTGCATCGGGAACTACTGTCGGACCCGCGCACCGTTCAGGCCATCCAACTTGAGACTGAGTGCTTTCTCACTAAGCTCCACGACGACCCCGAGTGCAACAACGCCCAGAGCCAAGTGGCATGACTGGCTGCGTCGCATGAAGGCTCAGATGCACCGTGGCCAATACAACCACCAACACCAACGCCGGGACGTCCTCTCGCTCTTTCGTATCAAGTGGAACTACATATGTAAGCCAAGTACGACGCGCGGGCAGGGCGGGCTACGGAGGATGCCGTCAAGACCGCCAAGGACGTGTACCAGGAGGCCAAGAAGGAATGCCGTCAATAAAGCTTGGACAGCGGGTTGGATCACCACGCCAACCTCAACGAGCTGGCAACGGCGCACTTCTTGCGTAAATCGCCAGCGATGAAGCTCCCGATTTCATCGGCGTCACGTCAACTGACCCTAAGGGCCTTGGTCGAGATTTCTACCGCAGCCGGACGCGCCGAGCCCGGCCCGATAGTCCAGGTGCCCATCATCAACACGTCACTGCGGCACTCTCGGAGGACCAACGCGCCGCTCTGGACCGACCAATCGAAGAAGAGGAGCTGTACTCTCCGATCAAGACAACGCTTTAAGAAATCGCCTGGTCCCGACGAGCTGGCTCGCTGCGGTTTTCCAAGTGGTGCCCGAGACCTTCGCGGCAATCGTAATTCGCGTCTTTGCTTACCAGCGCGCCGCAACTCGGTTACGTTGCTCCACAAAAATAGTCATCGCTCGGAACCAGGGAATTACCGACCGATAGTCTTTATCCCACTCGAGGTCAAGTTCCTGTCGCGTATGCTGCCGTGGCGCCTCTGGGAAGTGGCCGAGTCGCTGATACACCTTTCACAGGCGGGCTTCGTCAAGGGCTGTTGCATGGCCTACCACGTCCACCTCGTCCAAGCCCTGAAGCTGGAGGCGATGCAGGAGAACAAGCCGTGGGCGGCGACGTTTCTATACTAGGCCAAGGCTTACGAAAGGGTCCGTCAGGACTTCCACTGCAAGGGGATGGCGAAGATGCACATTAGGCCCGAGTTTCTCAGCTGGATCCGGCTCCTCTACAAGAAGCCCGTGGTGCACCTGCTGTTCAACGGCCCGCTTGGCCCGCTGGTAATGCTACCCGCTCTCGTGCCTTCTGCTTGACTTGAACCTAGCCACTCGGCGCGATGCTGCGTGCGCGTCCTAACCTCAGCAACCCGCTTAAGGACAAGCGTGACGCACTTGTCGCGGTTCAGCGCCGCTCTCGACGCGACGCAGAACTTGCCTACAAAGTTCACAGCATGAATTTTAGCCATCGCTGGCGTGCCCGACAGCAACGTCGAGTCGACAGCAAAAAAAAACAGCCGTGAGCACCTAGCCATCATTAACGACAACGTGTCACCGGTGAATAACGCTGCAGCACCCTGGCTCCGGGTCGCAGTCAGCGGTGAGCCTGTCGAGTGGGAAATTAACAGGTCGTGAGCCAAGATGGTCAAACACGGCCCGATACCGACACCGCTGCACCCCATGGTCGGGCCGCGGCACCCCGACAACCGAGCCGCCGCAACGTACATTACGAAACTCAATCACCGCTCTGCTGGCTAACTGCGCTACATGCAGGCGTGTTCGCGTCGCTCACGGGCGTGAATTGTTTCAGCACGGGGCCAGCACAATGGGTTCCAAGCGCTGCGCGACTTCATGGCACCGTTCGGGTACTCGTGGCCATAACTCATGACCGGGCTAGCAAATGGGCCATACCACGGCGCAGCCGTCTCCAAGCATCTCTATGACGTGTATAACCAAGTGCGCCGGAAGCACAACATGCGGTCAAAGCCCTCCTGTCAAGGCCGGGAGCTGACTGGGCACCCGTTCCGCAAGCACATCAATGAAACAATTCTGCCGTTTGAGCAGTGGTCCCGTCGCGTCGTTCGCGACGTCGCCCAGCACACGCCACATCCCAGTCGACGACACCCGCTGCTGTCGACAACGCGCCAAACGCCGTCGGATGCCAATAAGTTCATCCAGACGACACTCCAGCTGCAGAAGGTCACCACGTCAGTTCACGCAGACGTGTGGTGCCGCTTGATCATGCATATGCAGCCTGCAGCCTATCAACGTAAGCATGTCGCACAAATGACAGGAGGACCCGGCCATCTTCGTCTGCTCCCACAGCTGGAGAGCCGTGGAGATCATGCTTCATGCGTTCTTCACTGTTGAATATATTCTATGGGAGTGGCACAATCCGGGCGCGAAGTCAGTTCCGCCATTCGATGGACCAGCGTCACCAACCTCGACAAGATGAGATTCACGCCACAAGCCGCTGCGCGACACATTCCACAACCTGTGGGCCATGGCTCTCGCGCGCAATCTGGACTGCGCACCACGCTGCACACATTGACGGTACGCGGCTGCCGCCGACGCATGCCCATCAAGATGTCATCTTCAAGGTTTAGCTCGCTGCGATTCGGCGGTGCCTCCGTCTCCTTGACGACGAATCGTTCGAGAGCCGCGATCTGGTCGCTGCAATCACGCTGCTACTCTCGCAGCACAGCTACTGCGCGTTGGCTGCCAAATGCCCGTTGGGCCAATCCAACCCAGTCATCGGCTATCGCACGCACGCAATCACACGCCGCGCCTCAAGCTAACTCTACCAAAGTCGACTTAGTACGTACTAGTACCATAAATTGCGCTGTGAATTCAATTCCCAACAACACTGAGCTATATGACCGGACTCGCCTACCTCATATCACACTCACTCATAAACCAACTTTGGAATATAGCATCATTTAAAAAATATATATATATATATGAACGTGTTCCGCGTTATCTTCATTATGACACAAAGACTTCGCATACGTAGCGCTACGCCTGAATGCGTGGGAGTTGGCTCAGCACTTGGTGCGTGGGAGTTGGCTCAGCACTTGGAGCATCATTAAAATGTCCTATTTATCTATCACTCAACATCGAACCTCACAGTTTTCCAATTTATCATTTGACATCAAACCTCACAGTTTGAGCCCCATTTCACCGAAACACTAAAATAGCTTAGTGTGGCCGCATGAAACGGAGCTGGTGGCACTGCACTTTTCACTAGAGCCGACGTCACAGCACGTTCGAGCCCCAATGATCCCAGATTTGTAGGCTAGTGGCCTGCGGCCTGCTTTTGTTATCGACATCGTCACGTCCCACCAGCCAGAACAATGGAGAACCATGGTGGCGAACAATTGCAGCGCGAGCTCACACGATACGAGATGGGCCAGGAACGCAACCCTATCGAGTTGTTCCCTCACTACATGTACTCCATCAGTTGTGAAACCTGTGCGTATCGCGATATCGCTCTTCTCAGATTGCGACGGCGTTCATGGTGCAGCGTCTCCCCGCAATGCAGCACCGCACACTAAGCCAACTCGGACTGGAGCATCAGATGTAGTCGCAGGCCGGGCTACTTGCATACCAACATTGCAAAACTTCGATGCGTTGTATATTGTGCGAGATCAGTGTGACACGACAACGCGATTGGCTTGATCGACGACATTCCTCTCCGGTGGCCTTCCGAATTCAAGCACCCGGCGCTTTCGCTTACATTCATTGTTTAAAGATATCGTCGACGAGAAGGCGGTCGCGTTAAATATCATCTTGCGACTTGCGCACAATGCGACGGCAGCGCTTCTTGAAAGCGTCTTTGTCGTTTCTCCACTCGACGGCCGCGTCTATGTTAGCCGGCGAGTCGTCGTTCGGGTCCGACAGCATCGAAATGACCGAGACGAGGATAGATTCGACGCCCAATATCGGGCGCCATCGCTCATCGGCAGACTCTTGCGCATTCATCTGGTCTTCACCCGGCGGGTGCAAGATAGAGATACACACGACGCCACTCGGGTACACGTTCGGGTGCCACATGTCCGAGATAAACGTCATCTTCGGGGGCATGTTGGGGAAGTCCTTCGGAAACTCGAGGCGCGCGCGAAAGAAGCCGCCTTCGTACAGCGTATCCGGGGGGCCCACGAGCATGATCTCCCAGTGGAAGATGTTTTCATCGTCGCCCAGGCCAACGCTGACGCCCTCCGGCGGGTTGCGGCTCAGCTCTAGGTGTAGATCCAAAGTTTGAGGGTCCTTCAGCCTCGTGGAGGCTTCCTCGTACCCGTGAGCTGGCGGCGGAGGAGTTCGCGGCCGTAGTCCATCTCCGTCGCTTCGTGGCCCAAAGGAAATTCGCGAATGGGGAGCAGGACGTCGAGAGTTCGATTTTTGACCAATCACAAAAATTCGAACAATCCCACCAATCAGGCAACCTTCTAGAAGCTGAGAAGCACCAACACGTCGTCATGGAGGTTGGTCTGGCCGTGCGGGAAAGATCGTGCCAATGGCCTGCATGGGCCATGTCGAGGACAACACCCGTCAACATATGGCCACTGCCGCCTGCGCCACTCCGTCGGCGCGTACGTCGATATGTGGATGCGCCTCCTCTTCAAGATGCTCCACGTGGCTCCACGTAAACTCGCGTTTGGCGTATCTACAACGCGTGCGCCCCGACGCCATTTGCTGCGCCTGCGGCTATGGCGCCGCCGAAACGCGAATCCAAGCGTTCCGCGGCTGCGAGTTCGTCCGACGACGATGGGCGCATGCTGGCGCCTGACATGACCGGACATGTGTGCAGTCAACGCTCTCGAACATCGACGGCTATTCCTTCCAAGGCCGCGGCACGCTGTAAAAAGAAGTGTTGTGTGTGCTCGTGATGTTCCATCTCATTTATCTGAACCCAGCACAACGGCGTGCAGTGCGACCACCAGCAGAAGCTTCCAGTCGCCGCGTGGCGTGATCCACAAATCCTCTATCCTTTGTCTTTTGGACTGCGTCCGTACCCCGATAGGACCGGCTTGAAGACAACGACCGCCCAAAGTGCGCCGCCGTCCTCGATGTCGTGCGTATGTTTCTCAATCAATTGCCTACCAACATATTGGCGCAGCTTAGCTTGTCCCTCACAGCGCGTGACTCAGTCCCTTATCAAGGCGGCATGTTTGTTTCTGTGATCCCTTTATGCACGCCCGTTCGCTGTGCCTGCCGATGTCGTACACCGTATTTCCTATATGTACAATTAATTCTTCAACAATTGAGCGCCATGCATCGCACGGAGGCTTCAGCATCTGGCATACGGAACGCGCGAGTCGACCTGCAGGCACAAGCAGAGAGCGTGGTATGCACTTGCATTCAACACAATAACCTCAGTTCCGCTTCTATTGGCAGTGCGTGACAAAGCTTAGTTCGCCGCAGGCATGCGTAGGCGCTGAATCTGATCTGTGTAGGCAAGCATTTGCTTTTTCGAGACAAGGAAAGCGGCTTGATGATCCGCGTGGGTCGCTTCCATGACGACTAACACACGCTCGAGAACGTCAATGGTCTCGGTCGAAGCATCATTTCTATAGTGGCATGAGTGCTCGCCGCCAGTAAATGCAGAACAAAGGATGTACGCGCGCAAGCTGTTGAGATGACTTCGAACTGCCTGCATCTGGTGCTTGTGCGTCCGCCACTCGAGTTTCTTTTGTTGCCAGTAGTGCAGTCGGCCTTCCATTTCTAGAAGAGCCATCTCGGGATGCTGCATAGCTCCGACAGTTGGGGTTGAAGCCATCGTTGACGAAGTAGCGGGACCGACATATTTATCCGACGTCGCCTCGACGTTTGAATCTTGTATGAGCGTGTCTTGGTCAAATAGTGCATTGGCGGGCACTTGTGGCGATGAAGTTGCGTCTGTAGGTCGTACGAGAGTCTGTATCGCCGCGAGCGATTTGACCATCGAATATTGCATGTCGTACTTGGCTGCGGTATTCAAGTTCACGTCGTTGACCAGGAGATCCACCGGTTTTCTCGGCGGCGGCCTTGAGATTCGAGCGAGGCTGCTTACATCAAGCGTGCGTTCAGTCGGCGATACCTCGTATCGAGCGGTACTCGAGCTGCGACGATTTGGGCATCGCCCTCGAAGCGCCACGAAGCGCCAGTGCGAGGCGATTTGGGCCACTTTTTGCCAAATACGCTGGGCTCGCGACGCCGCCTCTTGGGCCACTGCCTGCACTCGTTGCTCTCGCAGTCGAAACCCCGCTGTCGCCCTAGAGAGAGTGCACAATTATGGAAACGGTTGTCAATATGACTCACCAATGCAACAGTCCTTGCTGAAGAAACATGCGACGGCGCCACTCGAGAGCCTGCAGAGAACCAAGTTGAGAACATGGGCACAAATGGGAGAGAGCCCTCACTTCATGACGTGAGTTGCGCTTGTGGGCGCGGTGAATTTGGAATGCTCTCCAATAACGAAAAGCGCGGGCTTGCAGCTGATCCTTCCAGTGCACCAAGGCTGTTGTATGCTGGGCCCGCGTAAGCTTGGCATCTTCAAGCCTAAAATCGACTCATGGCATTCAAGCTACAAAAACCTTCGAGCATACCGTTGCCGCCAAGCCCTGAAAGCAGCACGTTGGCACCGATTCGCGTCGTGCGCGCTGGCTTGATGGCGACATATCGCGCTCCACCGCTTTTCGCCCACGACTTCGATCCAATGCTCGAAAAGTCGCCGGAGAAGATTGTTCTGGTAGTAGCCCGAGGCACGCTGTCTACAAATCTTTATCATTTCCGTAAACAACTATTGGAAGTACCATTACCGCAAGAAACGCAACGTTGTCTTCGCAAGGCAATGTTCCCGCCAAACCTCGAGTGTGCGAGCTTGCATCCTTCCGTGGAGCAGGCTTGCAAGCCGTACTTCGGCTGCTTGCCGCCGGGTTGCGGCCGCTGTGGCTGTTTGCAGCCAAGCTCGGACAATACGGCCGAGAACCTACCGTTTATGTCTGAAGTGCAGTTTATTTGGCATGACATACCTGACGCTGGTAATGGTGCGTGGCTCGTTGATCCTCGCGCTTGACCCTGGTGAGTTGGACGACACCGTACTGCCAGTCGTAGAAAGCACGCTCGAGAACATAGCGGTTCTTCAGCTGCCGTTGTAGTGACATGCTCTTCGTATCGCGAAGAAGGGAGCGCCAAGCATAAAAGTGTTTGGTGCGGCCCTTTCGCTGCGCGAGTTGGGCGAGGGCAATGAGCCGCTCGGCACTAGCTAAGACCCGTCCACGGAGGGCCAGAAGGCCTTTCCTGAGCAAGCTGCAGTAGCGGAATCGAGCCGCACGCCGGCGCTTCAAGTCTTTCTCGCGCTTTCGGCTAGACTCAATCGCCCACTTTGTAAAGACATCCCGTTCGAGGCGCAGCATTGCTCGTTCTTCGCACCGCACTTGCAACACAGATGCAAATAGTGTGAATATTACTTCGCACCGCGACGTTGATAAAATACAGAATCATTATTACAGTCGAAACTGCCTATATGCATAGTGGATATTTATGCATCCGAGAGGCTTATTATTTGTGGAAGGTAAAAATATTTGGCTCGGGTATAATTTTTTTCGTTGTGATCAAAACTACATTCGCGCGCCAGCCATCTATTTGTCCATCAGGCATCTTCGTCGTCGACGTAGCGCACGGGACGTTCGCGAACAACCTCGAGACAGACAGTCTTCTCAGCCATAGTGCGCCATCGGGCTTCGTCGCGGACCATGCGCGAGACGGTGGTTTGGCTAATGTTGGGAAAACCGTTGGCCTTGAAGTACGTGGCCGTGCGCGTCTGGTTACGGCCGTTTGCATGGTAGAAGTCGAGGATTTTGGTTCTGTCATAGACGTTGGGCGACGATCTCATCTTCTTAGCAGCGTCCTTCGCCGCGGCGCGCGACTTGGGCATATAGGTGATATATCACACCCAAGAGGATTATTGAGTCTCGGGATATGCATATAGACAGGTTCGACTGTAGTATAATTATGACTTATATATAGTGTGAGTGTTCCCTGTCTCGAAATAGTGTGTCGACGAATTTAGCGGCCCAACTGGGCCAACTGGGCGAACCTTCGTGGCAATTATTTAGATAGCGCTGCGTTTCATTGGCTGAAAACCAAATAAATATCCAAACATGGTGGGCGTGGATTGGGCAAACGGAAATAGTGTTTCGTGTGCTGGCGCTATCTAATGCGATGACGAGCGTCGGCGCAAGCAGGGCTCTGAGCGTGTTGGGCTACACTAACACAGCGGAGCTCGCCAAAATGCGCAATGCACGACTTTTATTTACGAGAGACCGCAATACGCTTTGGCAGGCCATCCTGGCTCTGGGCGAAGAGCTGGCAAGCACTGGTACGGGCGTCGCTCGGTTGGTGGATTTACAGGTGCCGGGCTGGTGCTAGCTCGGCGTCGGGTGCCGGGTGCCTAGGATGGTGGTAGCTTGTCAAGCGCTGGCTCAGCAGGCTATGGCCTGAATGAGTCCGGCTTGGTGGGTGCTGGCTGGCGCGGCCGGTGTCGGCACTTCCTGGCGGCCCGAGCAGGGGCCAGATTCATATCTTCGTTCGAGCTTCGCCTCAGCTTCGAGACGGGTGCCCCGGGACCTCGGGGTGGGTGGGTAGTACCACTATGGAAGAAATCAAATCATTGTAGACAAATTTCGACCGCAAAAGCCATCGCTGGCGATACCAAACCACGATGCCCCGATAATATATTTCATTTCCTTTGATTTGGTGGCCTATAGAGCTCCAACGTCGCTGAAATGGGGACGCTATGGCTATGGCACCATAGACACCCGCAAGATGGCATGAAAAATGTGTAGGTTATTGTATGTATGTATCCGGATTTGCTGTTTATATGACATGCATTCCTGCGAGAATTAAAATGATTCCGGATACATACAATAACCTAGACATTTTCATGCCATCTTGCGGGTGTCAATGGTGCCATAGCCATAGCGTCCCCATTTCAGCGACGTTGGAGCTCTATAGGCCACCAAATCAAAGGAAATGAAATATATTATCGGGGCATTGTGGTTTGGTATCGCCAGCGATGGCTTTTGCGGTCGAAATTTGTCTACAATGATTTGATTTCTTCCATAGTGGTACTACCCACCCCGAGGTCCCGGGGCACCTCGAGGGTTGACCAATCAGCCATCTCGAAGCTGAGGCGAAGCTCGAACATAGATATGAATCGGGCCCCTGCTGGCGGCCCGTCGGCCTTTTCTAGCCTTTTTAGTTAGCGCGGCCAATCAGATTGACGAAAATAGTTAGCGCTGCCAATCAGCATCTGATTTGCA